CAATGAAAATAAGACTATTACGAAGTTATAGGGAAAATAAGAAGGTGAATCAAAACACAAGGAAGTTTATATTGAAGTAGGAAATAATATTTAAATAATCTTGAGTCAATACTATTTGAACAATATATAATATAATCTTGTTTTGTATTAAATAACAAGACCGCCCCAACGTAACTCTATATATGATGGATAGAAAACCTGTGGATGTATAAGCTTTTAGCGTACAAACATCATCCCCGCCACTCTTAAACTCATATCATTTCCGTTCTGAATTTTGAAGTTGTTGATTATGGGTAGAATCGAATCTAATATATCGCAAAATTCCCATTTCAATCCCTTAAACCCTGGAGAATTCAGAAAACAAGCACATGAAATGGTAGATTTCATCACTGATTATTTTCAAAATATTGAAACCTACCCAGTTTTAAGCCGAGTTCAACCAGGGTATCTCCGGACCAAATTGCTGGAGAGCCCACCGGATCGACCAGAACCCTTTGAAACGATCATGAAAGACGTTCAAAAGCAGATAATCCCCGGGATGACTCATTGGCTGAGCCCTAATTTCTTTGCATTTTTTCCTTCAACTGTTAGCACAGCTGGTTTCCTCGGTGAAATGCTTTGCACTTGCTTCAACTCCGTCGGGTTTAATTGGTTAACATCGCCGGCGGATACGGAGCTCCAATGACGGTCATAGACTGGCCGGCGGGAATGCTGAAGCTGCCGGACTCGTTCACGTTTAAAGGGAGTGAAGGCGGCGTTATCCAAAACACCACCAGCGAAGCTATCCTCGTGACACTCATTGCAGCTAGGGACAAAGCTCTTACCGTCGTCGGCGCCGCAGATGTTAACAAGCTCGCCGTTTATGCTTCCGACCAAACACATTCGACGTTCACTAAAGTTTGTAAGATCGCTGGCATTTCATCTAGAAACATAAGGTCGATTCCGACGACGCTCACCGGTGGTTTCTCTTTATCTCCTTTTGAACTCCGGAAGGCCGTCGAAGCTGACTTGGCAGCTGGTTTGGTGCCGGTTTATCTTTGTTTGAACCTCGGGACGACTTCGACCACGGCGGTTGATCCGATCGAACCACTGACTCGCGTGGCTAAGGAGCACGGAATGTGGTACACGTGGATGCTGCCTATGCGGGGAGTGCATGCATATGCCCGGAGTTTCGGCATCACCTGAACGGGATAGAGCGAGTTGACTCGCTGAGTTTGAGTCCCCATAAGTGGCTACTCAGTTTCCTGGATTGTTGCTGCTTGTGGGTCCAAAACCCGAAAGCTCGTCGATGCTCTGAACACCAACCCGGAATACTTGAGAAACAAACAGAGCGAATCAGATTCCGTCGTCGATTTCAAGGACTGGCAACTCGGCACCGGCCGGCGGTTCAAATCTTTGCGGTTATGGCTCATTTTCCGATCCTACGGCGTCGTCAACCTCCAAGCTCATATCCGTTCAGACGTACGGATGGCCAAGATGTTCGAAGGGTTCGTAAGATCCGACCCGAGGTTCGAAATAGTGGTGCCGAGGCAGTTCGGGCTGGTGTGTTTCCGGACCCGGATGAAAATTACGGGTCGGATTATACCGAGATGTTAAACCGCAAGCTGTTGGATTGGATCAATTTGACGGGTCGGGTTTACATGAGCCATACGAAAATCGGTGGGGTATACGTATTGACGTTTGCGGTGGGGGCCACGTTGACAGATGAGCGCCACGTGGTTGCCGCATGGAAGTTGATCAAGGAAGGAGCTGATGCGTTGCTGAGGACAACGTGATTCGCCTCAGTCCCACCGTAGCGTGTGTGTGTGCGCTTTATGATTTGGAGAATAATTTCATGAATTATAAAAATAAATAAACTGGAATTTGTGCACCCAAATTGGTGGCTGAGTGGGTGTTTTTTTTTTTAAATGTTATTTTGGGGAAAATTAGTTATTTAAATAGCTTTTCTATCGTGAAATTTGTAATTGTTGAATATTGACAATTTTAAGATACATATACATCTTTCGTTGTATTAATCACAATAATTTGTGGTATTTTATATTTAAATCGGTACCCATAATCCACTAGTATTATGAGAACATTTCTTATGCATATGGTAAAACGTTCATAATGTGTTAGATTAAATGTCATCCTCATATTCATCGATAGGATATAATATTTATACATTGACAATATGTTAAATTTTATTTTAAATATTTTTTTATATGTAATTAAGAAGATAATTCGAAAAAAATGCCTGGATTTTTCTTGAAGAAGATGAATAGTAGCTCGGGTCGTAGGCTTCTCATATGTTTTGGCTCATGGTTGGTCATATGAGCTTTGTTGCCATTCTTGTTGACTGGACAATAGTTTTTCAATGAATGATGGCTCTCCAAGGATATTCTTTTGGGCTTTTGCCCTTCTCGTAACAATACACAATTGCAGTACCCTATTGTCCAACATAGTACTTGGACTTGGAGTAAAATTGTTTGGGCTTCGATATCAGGAACCTCGAGTTTCCCAAGCCAATGGTTGGTTCTTCAAATAAAAGAGAACAAAATTTGATTCCACTCAAAAAATTATATTTTTTTAAGTTGGTTTGTTTTAATTAATTTAATTTTTTGGTTCATATTTTTAGAATTAGTCGAGTTTGAAATTGCAAATTTCGAATACTTGAAAAAATAGAAATAAAAATGACAGCATTTTGTGATTTAGTTAATTAATTTAATTATCTTGTGATTTTGTTTTTAAATTCTCCCTTCGTTTGAAGTTTGTTTTGGACAAATTTGACCCAATACTCTTCATGCAAATCTTCGTTTGAAGTTTGTTTGAAGTTCGTTTGAAGTTTGTTTTGATTATTCTTTTAACAACAAATTTTCTCTTTATGCAATTTAACCTTTTAATTTTTATCATCAATACTTTATCCTCAAAATATATTTTTAAAAAATAACATTGTAATTATATTATATAATTTTAGTTGTTTTATTGATTTATATAATAATATTACAAATCTTAGCAACGCATGTGAAAAATAATAAGAAATATATATACACTATATTTAGTTAGAGAGTTGTTTAAATTGTAAGCAATTAATACCATAACATTATAAATAATTGTATCTAGTATGAACAAAAATTCAAACAAATTTATTTGATTAGACTAAACTCAAAATTCATAATCGAAAAGACTTCAAATAAAGTTTGAATGATAAAACGATACTCATAAACTTGAGTAACTCAAAAAAAAAATCACTCGACTCAACTTAATCGAATATACACCCTTACTTTAATCGTATGATGCCCTCTTTATGCCTCTAAATGTTCTTTTATTTATTGGTTAGCTATTATGAATCAACTGCCTACTAAAGATAAATTAAGGAATTGGGGAGTAGAGATAGATGGTGGCAACATAAATAAATAACATTAACACAGTACACGTGTGAACGTTTTGCTTTATACCTTTTCATTTACCAGTTCAATATCATATTCCTTCTTCGATACTTTTGGATTTCAATGGGAAATAAGCAACTTTGGATTAATTATTGATGATTAGAAAAGTTTGGGGAGTGGGCACGTGAATCACGTGGAAATTATTCAAAATTCTAATTATAATACTATCATTTAATTAAATAATCACGATGGTGTTCTCAATGATTAATTATTTTAAAAGTATTAACATTTTCAAGTTTTCGTTTTAAGTTTCGATCACAATTCTTCATTTGTATTAATATTTAAATTATGATTGGACAAAATGATTAAGAAATTGAGTTGCCACATGCATTTTCGACAACGACATCTCCTTCTAAGATATGATTCATTTTATGTATAGGATCTGACATTATTCCCTTTGTTAAGGATCCACTAAAAGTGTATGTTGTTGCCACTCTTTTTCTTAATTAATACTAACAATTAATTTTATTAAATAAAAAATAAATATTTATATTTATTAAAAGAATCTATAAAACAGAATTAAATTAATCATATAAATCGTTCTCTAAAATCGTCAAAGTACACAAACTAATCACTTAAAAATAAAACTATGATTAAACAATGAAAAAAAAAGTTAACGAAAGAACTCATATAAATGATGTATACACACAAACACTAATGTCGATAGTTTGTTGACAAACCGACATATCACAATTCAATAATGATCTATCTTCGGTGATTGTAAGCGTTCACTAATATATAGTCCGAGAGTTCAAAGTAGGAATAGATATGTAAAATAACTAAATAAATGTCATATTTAAATATGGAGAAATGATGCTAAGAAAAGAAAAGAAACGTGTTGCAACAACATACAAAAAAAAAGTACTATAAAAACATATAAAATCATCTGTTATTTCATACGAAAGAAAAAAAACTAATTACACGAGAAAATAACACAACTTCAATTAAGTGAAAGGAAAGAAAAAGAAAGAAAAACCGAGAGATTGACGACTAATCTAAAGTTAATGCTACCGATGACTGTGTGAAAAAAAATACATTTGAAAAATAAGAGTCACTATTTCTACCCATTAAATATTTGATGAAGTATATATGATGTTCTTTAAGTTATGTTTTAATAATTTTTTGGTCATTGAAATTTTATAAATTACAAAATAATTGTTAATTTATCAAATGCTTATAGAACGAATATTATTTTTTATTAAATTATTATATAAAGATTATTAATTTTTATCAAACTGTTATAACTTGATTATTAAATTTATCAAACTTTATGATCATAAAAATGTTATAGTTACCATTTTATAATAGTTTTATAAATTTAATTACTATTTTATAACTTCTGGATTCGTTTACTAAAAAAAATCATCTAAACATAGTTTAATTATGATGTACTTTACCCTAATTGTTATTGGGGTGCACATTACACCAGTATAAGAAATTATTGACTAGGTTTGAATGCAATGCTATAACATATTATAGAAAATTAAAATTAGAGTTTTATAGATGAAATTATTGGATGTAATATTCACGAGATTACAACATAAATAGTAAAATTAACGTAAAATATATACG